GTTTTTAAACCATTGGCAGAAAACATTTATTTGGGCGAATCGTTGTTTCAGACTGATATGGTTTAAGAGGTTACGGGAACCTTTTAGTATCTCTTTTTTATTTTTTAAGAAAAAATAAGTAGTGAAACCATTTATTTTTGGCCTTACTACGTAGTGATGATAAGTTTTGACCATTAGATACGAAATTGGATAGCTACATTTATTCCATTGACCAAGCTCAAACTTTAAAAGAAATTTTCTCATACTTTGTGATACACCCAAGTTATCATATCAGAAGGTTATAAATAAGGATGCAGATGGCATACGGATGCATCCGTAGGTTTAGAGGTAAGGGAAAAATTTATCATGGTATATAATTTTGATGTAAAATGTTATTGGGATTATCTCAAAATCTAATTTTATATTTAATAATAAAATTTTAGATTTAAAAAATGATTAAAATCAAGTAGATCTATAAACATATGAAAATCTTGAAAATAGATGGTGTAGATAATATGTTGTAAAATGCGTTATTTCCGAGACTTAAAATCTTTTTGTTTTTCATGGTCATACATCTCGATGTCGAGATGATCAATGAAAAGGTTTTTCAACATTAAAACTATCTTTTTCGATGGATTTTTTAGGTGCATCCGTAGTTTTACATTATAAAGTTTCATCCTTATATAAACTTTTTCCTATAAATAATTGTGACTTTTTTGTATCAAAGCTAAACCGTCTCATTTTATACAATCCCTTCCTAAAAACTTATTTAGAGGCCGTTTAATTACCTGAAAATATATTGCAAGGAATAGATTATTAGGAATATGACATTTATACCAGTGATTTAAAAAACGGATCGATGACCTGGATCAGACATCTCAAAAATAGATCTGGATCGGTGAATCGACGATCCGAATCGGGAATCGGACCGAATCGTTTGGATTAAACCTTAAAAAAATTCAAAAAAATTATTAAAATTCATTATAAATGTTGTTTTTTAGGAATCCAATAAGAAATAGGGGTATTACGTCATTAACTTTCATTATTTTCATCAATTTATGAATATTGAGATGTCCTTTTCCTGTATGAATTTATGTTGACCATTAAATTTATGTCACACAAAAGAAATCATGGAATTATCATGGATTAAGTATATAA